GACAGAGCATTCCTGAATGTCAAGCCTTGTTTTACTGAAACCTGAATAAGTGCTGACTATACAATTCCACAATCACAGTCAGTTCAGAAAATACAACAGTGGTACCGGAGTGGACATTTGGCTAGCTGGTCTCCTAGAGGCCGAAGAAAAGCTTAGGCCCAAACCAGCAATTGGCTGAATATCGAGGCTAAAGTTGACCCTTGAGGCATCAATGTCAAATATTTCCATTATGTCCCAGCCCAGTGTCTAGCTTATTTCCTGCTCTTAGCACCTGTGAATGGTGCTGTGATCACCAACATGAATATACACTTGTCAGTCTTCAAGGAACTTTCTGTAGGATTAAAATTAAAACTGTCCTTTATGCCAAAACATGTATTTAAAATTCTTTTTGATAGTGTCATGTTCCTGTCTAAAAACCTTATGCCACCAAGCTTAGCAGCATAGGCCTGTACTCCCAGTTATTCAAGAGGTCATGGCAGGAGGATCACAGGTTCAAGGCCAGCCTAGGCAGCTTCATGACACTGTTTCAGTGAAAAGGGAGTGAAGCTGGGTGAGTTTATAGCTTAGTGACAAGAGTGATTTCCTAGCAAGCACGAGGTTCTGAGTTCAATCCATAGTACTGTAAATAAATAAACTAATAAACCTGCTGATTTGTACTTCATAATCTCTGTGTAAATCTTGTTTTTTAACATCATCACTAACATTGCCTATTTTCCATTTTTTTTTTTTTTTTAGCATGATGCTGTTTTCTTTTTAAAAAATAGCCTGCTCTTAGTGTGGCTTTTGGTCACAGGAAAATGGAGTAGAAAGCAGAGTGTGGCCCCCGGAAGCCACACAACACTCCCCCAGCTCTCCCATTGTCATCTCCACACACCAGAATATTCTGTTTGTTACAAAAGAACCTACATCAGCACTTGCCACCCAAAGGCTGCTGTTCACATTAGCACTCACTCTTGGTGGTGTGCATCCTGTGGATTCTGACACATGTCTGATGACATGTCCATCATTATAGAATCACATCAAATACTCACATTGCCTTAAAAAGCCACCCATGCCTATCTAGTCACCCTTTCCTCGGCCTAACCCTTACAGCCACTAATACCCTTGTTGTCTCTATTATTTTTTCCCCCAAACGACATGTATATAAAATCATGCGCTATGTAGCCTTTCCAGATAGGCTTGTTTGGCTTAGCAATATGCATTCGAGTATCATCTGATGGGGGAAGTACTTTTGTGTATGTTTATCTTATTGATTGTTAAATAAAATACTGTTTGGCCAATGAAACGGCAAGTTAGGCAGGACTAGGAGTCAAAGAGGATTCTGGGAAATGTAGTAGAGAAGTGCTGACCCAGGCAGGAAGTGACATAGCAAGGAGACTCATATTTAAATGAAGGAGAAACAGGAAGGGCCCTCTCTTTTCCCCTCTGCTCCTGCTCCAGCGGCACGATGTGATCCACCAGCAAGGAGGGACTCCAATAAGGCGTCTGATAAGATAAGTCTTATAAAATATATATGTTTATGATAGTTAAGACTGAGCTAACAGATGAGAATCCTAGTCATTGGCCAAGCAGCATACATGTTTCTGTGTATTCATTTGGGCCCTAACTCAGGCGGGCAGCTGGCGTAAAGCTCACATGTGGCGGTGGGGCTCAGGCGGCTTTTGGCAGAAAGATTTATCGGAACAATCATCTATGACTTTTTATGCCTTGGTAGTTCATTGTTTTTTAGTGCTAAATTCTACTGTTCAAATGTCTTTTAGTTTATCTGGTCATCTACAGAATGATATCTTAGCTGTGCCCAAGTGTTTATAAATAAAGCCATTGGAAGTATACCAGTTGTTGTGTAGATGTTTTTTCTTTATTAAAAATTTATTTATGTATACATGTATGTGTATGATTATGTGCACATGAGTGTAGTGCCTTCAGAAGCCAGAAGAGGACATCAGATCCCTTGGAGCTGGAGCTACATGTGAACAGCCTTATACAAGTGCTGAGAAGCAAACATGAAATTGATCCAGCCTAAAGAGAAACAGAGCTCACACCTTTGATCCCAGCACTTGGAATGACATCCCTTTAATTACAGCACAGGAGAGGAATATAAGGTGGGAGGAGAAAGGAGCTCAGTGCAATCTGAGGATTCTTGGAGACAGGATCACCCATTTGGTCTAGGGTAGAGGTAACAGCTAGTGGCTGACTGCTTTGCTTCTCTGATCTTTCAGCTCTCCCCAATATCCGACTCTGGGTTTTTATTATTAAGACCAGTTATAATTTGTGCTATACTCTCTAGCACCAAGAATATTCTTTGTATATTTTGGATAATTTTTTAGACATAATTTACATTTTAAAATTTATAAATGTAGCCAGGTGTGGTGGTGCCCCCCCCCCCCCCCCCGTATTTGGCATTGAAAACCAAATCTACTAGGCCAGATATGGTGGCACTCTTTTTAATCCCAGCATTTGGGAGACAGAGACAGGTCAATCTCTGTGAATTTGAGTCCAGTCTGGTCTACATAGTAAGTTCATGGCCAGCCAGGGCTACATAGTAGAACCCTGTCTCAGACAAACAATCAGGAAAAAAAGGAAAAAGAAAATCAATCCACTGTAAGACACTTCCCCACTGGGCCTCTAGGCCCAGCATAGTGAGTGAGACATAGTGTACTACACTGGAATAGTCTACTACACTCAGACCCAGGTACTGAGAAAATGCTGCCGCCTTCTGGGAAAGGCTGTGTTATCGCTCTAGCTGCACTGGAATGCTCCTCGCTCTAAATGCAACCTGGAAACAGCATGAGGATGAGAATTACTGTAAATGTGTCCAATTTAAATGTTACCATCATCAACATGCAGTATCCACACAGCAGTTGGCTGGAGTTCCTTGACTATGTGGGACTGTGATGTCAGGAACTTCCTGGGGTTCTTGAAGGGGTAAATAGAGTGGAGAGCACGCTTGAAGCCTCACTGGCAGGAATGCGTCTGACAAGAATAGCACTGACTGTTAAGTGGTGACAGGAGGGGGCAGTGCTTAGAGGAGCCTTGAGAACTGCCAATCAGCAAGGAGGGACCCCAGAGAGAATGAGTCTGCAGTACCCATGGAGAATGAAGCTGGAGAGAGCTGAGTGACCTAGTCAGTGCTCTGATCTCATCTCGAAATCTATAACTTTAACAAGGAGAAGTCCTTGTAGGTTTGAGTGTACTATAGAAGGAAAACCAGTGTTACTTAGCACCCACTGTCGTTAGTTACTGTTTCCACCCAGAGTTTCCTCAGCATGTGGATCTATGTCTGTACTGCAGAAAAATAAGGTTGCCTCAAACACTTTTTGTACTCTATTTCAACTCAATAAACACACACACACACACACACACACACACACACACACACACACACACACACACACACACTGTGCTGACTGTGCTGGATTGTTTTATGTCAACTTGATGCAAGCTAAAGTCATCTGAGAGGAGGGAACCTCAATTAAGAAAATGCCTCCATAAAATCAGGCTGCAGGTAAGCTGGTTGGGCATTTTCTTAATTAATGATTGATGAGGGAGGGCCTAGTTCATTGTGGGTGGTGCCACCTCTGAAAAAGTGATCTAGGGTTCTATAAGAAAGCAGGTTGAGCAAGCCAATAAGCATTACCCCTCTAAGACCCTTGCATTAGCTTCTGCCTCCAGGTTTCTGCCCTGTTTGAGTTCCTGTCCTGACTTCCTTCAATGATGAAGGGATTCAATATGGAAGTGTAAGCCAAATAAATCCCTTTCTCACCAACTTGCTTTATGGTTATGGTGTTTCATCACAGCAATAGAAACTCACATACATAGACACACATACATACACACACGCTCACTCACACACATATAAAAACACACACATGTACACACACATACATGCAAGTTTATACCTGATTAGCTTTTTTTCTTTTGGTTTTTCAAGACAAGGTTTCTCTGTGTAGCTTTGAAGCCTATCCTGGCACTCGCTCTGGAGACCAGGCTGACCTCAAACTCACAGAGATCTGCCTGCCTCTGCCTCCAGAGTGCTGGGATTAAAGGTGTGTGCCACCAACGCCCTGCTCTGATTAGTTTTTTTTTTTAAGTTGCTTGTATGTTTATTGTATGTATATGCTTTCACAGCTTTATTATCTTTTTAATAGAATGTTTACTCAATTTTTAATTGCAGAGATTAGTTCTAATATTTATTTACTGTTTTTGTTTTTTTCAAGTGACAGTTTTTTTTTTTAACAGTTTTCTGTTTTTTTTTTTTTAAACTTTATTTTATGTGCCTTGGTGTGAAGGTAGCAGATCCCCTGGAACTGGAGTTGCAGACAGTTGTGAGCCGCCATGTGGGTGCTGGGAATTGAACTCAGGTACTCTGGAAGAGCAGTGAGTGCTCTTAACCTCTGAGCCATCTTTCCAGCCCCCAGTGACAGGTTTTTATGTTTACAATATATATTGTAAACAAAACCAACCTCCTTCCCAAGCCACTCCCCCAAAACAAACAAACAAACAAACAACTAAAGGTTAAATAAAATTTACAGTGGCTAGACCAGCAAACTTCTGTATGTAAAGTTAAATGCTGTGTCTGTGACTGAGGCACAAACCTCAAATAAACAATATTCAGTGTTTGGTGATGGAGGGGGCCCCAAGTTTTAACTGTGTGGAATTTGGGAGACAAGATGGAGGAAGTGAGAGAATGGGGACACGCATTTATTTTTCTTAAGTCTACCTATATAAATATATTCGTGACGACCACAAGAGGAAAGGGAGCTTGGGACAGTGAAAACAGTGAGAGAAGGGGAGTGGGAGACCCTCTTGATTCTACTTGACCAAATATATAAAGGAAATTAATTTCATGGTGGGAGAAGAGATTAAAAAAACTGACAAGAGTAGGAAGGAGAAAGGAAAGAGAAGGCGACCAAACAGAAAAGGGGAAAGGGAGGGAGGGGAGGGGAAAGGAAGGGAGGGGAAAGGAAAGGAAGGGAAGGGAAGGGAGGGGAGGGGAAAGTAAGGGAGGGGGAAGGGAAGGGGAGGGAAGGGAAGGGAGAGGATTTGGGCACTAGGCTGAGACCCCATCTGGCTCTCTCTTCAGCCATGATGAAGTAAACTCCTGTCTGACAGCTTTGCCTTACTTCCCACCACTGGCCCAGTCCTTGTCTCCCCCACTAGCCCCCAATCCTACTGTGCCAGCTCCTCCCATCCTCCATTATTTGCACCTGGCTTGCTCCAGGATCCTCAGTTTGAGGTTCTTTTTGGCAACTGGAACTTTTAAGGGACTCATAGAGTTGTTGAGGCAAAGTGAGGGCATTCTGGGTGGCCAGGGGCCTGGGAAATACATCCATTATGGTGTACAGGCAGCAAAGTCTGAGTGGTGGCCACTCTCAGTAGTCCAGCTGTTGTCCTTGCCACCTCCATCCAGTGGCTCCTCAGTATCCAGATTGTCTGCTTTTGTACAGGTGATGCCTTCAGGGAGATCTGTACCTTCGGGACCTTCCCAGCATGTCTGCTGTTCTAAATGATAATAAATAATAAGACCTAATAATAATAATAATAATAATAATAATAATAATTATTATTATTATTATTATTATCTTTATTGTTACTGTTTGAGGAGGGCTTGCACTGTGTAACACAAGCTGGTCTCAAACTCATCATCTCCCTGCCTGAGTCTTCAAAATGTTAGATTAAAGGATGTCCCACAATGCTGAGCAAATGTTTCCAGTATCAACAAGACCAAAGAAGCTTTGTAAAGTTGCTATGTTAGAAGGCTGGATAAAATTCTTGTTTTCTTAAACTTGGTGTGTGTGTGTGTGTGTGTGTGTGTGTGTGTGTGTGTGTGTGTGTGTGTGTAAAAAGAAGGGGAACTCCATGGGGAGTGGAATTAATCTAACTAGTGGGCAGAGGAACCAAGAATAATTGGAGAGGAGAGAGGACAAATATCACATATTTCCCTCTATTTGTTGAATCTGAATTTAATAAGTGCCAGAGGAGGGTAATGTTGAGGAGGAATGACGGCAAAAATGATCAAAGTACAGTGATTATATATGTATATATGAAGATGCCATAATAAAGCCCTTTAAGACATCCATAGAAATCCAAACATTTATAGCCAGGTGTGGTGGCAAATATCTTTGAGCTCAGCACTTAGGAGGCAGAGACAGGTGGATTTCTGTGAGCTCAAGGTCAGCCTGGTCTACATAGCAAGTTTCAAGACAGTCATTGCTACATAATAGAGAGACCCTGTTTCAAAAATCCCGTAAGTAAATAAAAATTTATAAAATTAAGTTTATCATCTCATGTATCTTCTGAGAATCAGAACTCAGGAGGGGCTTAGCTGGGTAGTTGTGGCTTTTACAAGGTTACTGTTAGGCTGTCAATCACAGCTATGATGTATGAAGAATGACAGGTGAAGCTATACTTCCTGGTTCCTTCAAATGGTTCCTAGTTTCTGTTTTTCTGTCTGTCAAGGCCTTTCCTGAGGCTGGTTACAATTTAGAGGTCCTCAGAAAAGAACAGTTGAAAAGAGAATGACAGAACAAGAGGGAGGGACAACAACTTGTCCTTTTGAATAAGCCAATGCGATGTGCCATGTCATCAGGTCTGCATGTCTGTCAGTCATACACACTAACCTTCGCACTGTGCAAGAGGACTGTGTGAACACCAGGAGGCAGAGATAACCAGCTGAGCACATTTTATTCTCTCTCTCAGCCTTTTCAGTAAGTCTACTCAGGGCATCTGTGTTGAAGGATGAGGCAGACAATCCCTGCTGGGTACAGCAGCCTCACTCTCTCTGCTTACCCAGGACCAGCAGGGTGAGTTTGTCACCCCTGTATCCTCACCTCTCTGTCCTTCTGAGCCTGACTCACTCCAGTTCCTGTTACATTTACCAGAGTTGTTCTCAGCCCCCCAAATCCCATAATACCTGTAAAGCCCTGGGCATCAGGTCCTTATTTATCTTTTCTCTCTCCACCCACCAAACTGCCAACACTGCCCCCTTTTCCAGGGACCTAGATATCTGTGAGAATGCCCAGTTAGCCAGAATGCACCATTCCACTAGTAATTTCCTGTCTACTGACACCTCTTCTGCTACTGAAGAGAACAGGACATAGAGATTGCTCAGGCAGTTGTAAGGGACAGGGACCTTTAAAGCCAACAGTTCTGATCCCTCTCCATTGCCAGAAGCCAGAACTGTCCTTGTCCTGGGGGTTCTGGCTCCTAGCCTGCATTCTCATGGTTCTTCTCCTTCACAAACCTTCATGACAGTACTGCCCAGATGCTATATGAGAGTATCCAATGAGGTGTGTGAGCCAGGAGGTGGTGGCACAGGCCTGTAATCCCAGCAGCTGGGAGGCAGAAGCAGGCAGATCTCTGAGTTTGAGGCCAGTCTGATCTACAGAGTTCCAGGACAGTCAGAGCTACACAGAGAAACCTTGTCTTGAAAAAACAAAACAAAAACTGAAACACCTCATGGACAGGCCAACCAGACTGGCTCACTCCTGGAACTCAACCCAGTAAGGCTTCATTAACCCCTAGATGGGGACCCTGAAGGGTAACCCATTTCTTGGAACCCACTCTTACTTTCTCTTTAGCTCTCACCTACAAACCTCTAATGAACTCCCTAAAAATTCTCTGCACTGTCCATGAAATTCATTCTGGGAGCTCACAAGACAGAGCACCCAGAAGCCGCTGGCCTGAGGCGATCTTGGTGGCCACTGACTTCCTGGGACCTTAGCCCCGTGAGTTATGCTTACTATCATGAGAATACTTCTGTTTTGTACTCAAGGACCCCACCTCCCTGTAGCCTGTATCACAGGCTATAGACTTCCCACTTTTCTTTGCTGTGTTCTGAGCCAAGCTTGAACTGAAACACCATCATCACTTCCCTTCCAATAAAGCCTTCCTTGCTGCTCTAGCAAGACTCATGAATAAATCTTCTGATTCACATGCCCAAAGCCCTGTATAACACAATCTTTCTCTTTTCCATGATGAGACACAGATCTCATCATGTAAGTTTAGGGGCCACAAACTCTTAGGTTCAGCTGCTGGGGCAGATGGCCATGGGAGCAATCCCTCTGGTTAAGGTTGCAGCAGGAAGTTCTTTATGAGCTCCATGCCCTTTGAGACACCGCTGCCCAACTCTGAAGTCCTTGTTAGTTGGTCATTTGGGGCTATATAACCTTCAGTTCATGGCTCTGTTTAATACCACAGAGCCTCTTCTATTGATCTTTGGGTATGACTCACTGCTGGTGTTTTGGAGAAATTGACCATTATGTCTGGAATGTAGAATAAAGAGGGGTCCAGGGTATCTATGGTCCTATGATTTCCCGGCATAGTACCATCCTGGGAGATAGTTTGAGAGCTCAGTGGAGGAGATATTTTTAAAATACAGCCCATCTGACTTTTTCTTTTGACAAGAAGTCAGCTGTGGAGCAGCCCGGGAGAGGTTGCACAGCACATCCTCTGAGGAAGGCTGGGGGCAGAAAGATTGGAGAGAGGTCTGTACACTTACAGAACTGCAGTGAAGCAGAGAAGGCTGGTGGCCAGACTAGAGGGATTCATGTGGGACTCCCAAATGATCCTTTGCCATCTGCGATGGAGAAACAGTTGCAGATTCAATCCTGTTATTTGTTTCTGCTCACCACATTTAAGGGAGAGGCATTTATTCATTATTTTAAAAACAAGCATATGTTCACAAGTTACTTCTAAGCAGAGTCACAATAGAGTGGAAATTCAGTTGCCATTGGTTGTATTTTTACAGTCTTATATTTTTGACACATGGACCTATCTTTGCATGTACAGTAATGCATTGCTAATGATGGGATGCATTCTGGGAAATGTCATGAGATGACTTCCATTCTGTGATTGCATGAACATCACGGAATCTACTTGCAAGAACAGACTGCATTACTAGGCAGGTGGGTAGGTTTTGGGGACTACCACTGTACAATCTACCACTGACCCACTTGTTATGTGGTACGCGACTATGTTTTTGTGTATATGTGCACTTATGGTTTGGGGAGAGGTCAGGAAGCTGTTTTGAAGTCAGATTTTTTGTTTTGTTTTGTTTTTGTTTTTGTTTTCCCCTAATTCTAGGGATTGAATCTAAGACCTTGAGCTTGCCTAGCAAGCACTCTACCACTGAGCTAAATCATTACTTAGCTCCATAATGTTTAATCTTTTGGATTTCAAGCCCGTGGTTAGACTAGTAGCAAGAACAGAAACAAGATGACAGTCTTTGCTTCCTGCAGAGACAGTGATTTGTGAGGAGTGGATTGAGGGGTGTTTGGAAAGCCTTCCAAACCACACTGATGCCTTAACTCACAAGAAACCATTCCCTGTTCTTAAGAGAGCTAGGGTCTTTGGCAATTCGATTACCCTGGACAGGGAAACCAGGCTTCGGTTTAGTTAGGTTGGGCCTGTCTCTCTAGACAGAGACTAGATCTTGTGTCCGTAGACTTCTGCTTGGACTTACTAGATATCCAGCCTTTAGCGTATTAGCCCAGTTAATCTTCTCAACAGCTCAAAAAAGCAGACAACAATATTTCATAAGTTACCCCCAATTCACATTGGTGAATAAATGTATCCTGAACTGAACAACAGAAAAAGAAGGTGTGTGGAGGAATCTTGGTCTACCTGGGCTGTGATCACAGATGTCTATAATCTAGATAACTTATGTGACAAACAGACTGGGAACAGAGGTTCATTTCTCCCTGTTCTGGAGGCTGGTAAGTTGGAGATCAAGCCCCTCTCATTCAGTTGTTGCGGTGGGCTCTGTTCCTGGCTTGTGGATAGAAGCCTTCACAATGTGTCCGGGGTGGGGCAAGAGGGGTGGGGGGTGGAGAGAACAGAGTCACACACAGACATCGACAGAGAGCGGGGATGGCGGGGTGGGGGGTGTGTTAAGACAGAGGGAGACAGAAAGAGAGACACAGACAGGCACACATACACAGAGAGAGGCAAAGACAGGGAGACAGATGCAAGAGAAGGTCCCTTTCTCTTCTTGGAGAACATTCTGTGGTTGACATTTGGGAGATGAAGTGCTGTAGAAAGAAGTAGGTAACGCATCTGAGGACAGCAGAATTAAGGCTTTCTGGAGGATGGTGGCAGCTAGAATACCCTAGGCAAGGTCTTAAGGACAAGGGGAGGGGTGTGTGCCCAGCGTCATGTGGCTCTGCGTGGATTCTCAGTTAGCAGACAAAACAAAACAAAATGATGAGATGATGTCATCTTATGGGAAAGGAAGTTTTTCTTTTCTCTTTCCCTCCTCCCTCCCTCCTCCCCCCTTCCCCAGATTCTCTTCTCTTCTCTTCTCTTCTCTTCTCTTCTCTTCTCTTCTCTTTTCTCTTGTCTCTCCCTCCCTCCCTTCCTTTCATTCAGGACCTCACTGTGTAGCTCAGGCTGGCCTTAAACTTATGATCCTTTCGCCTCTTCCTCCAAATACTGAGATTTACTTTTATTTTCCCCCTCTTGCATGTTAGCTAAGTCACTGAATATAAAATATGACACATTACATATCCAGACACGGATGAAAAGAGCTACAGACCCACAAGATGTTGGTTGCTTTTAAAGGTCAGTTATGTTGTCTTCATCTTTCAAGACAATAAACTGTAAATTCAAGTGTTTACTGATAACTCCTCTCATTTGACTCTCCACTAAAATGATTCAAGATTCACCATTGTTGTTCATTTAGCATCTATTCAGAACTGAAGCTATTTAGCCATCCATGGACACAGTCTAAGGTATGTTGGTTAATTTGAAAGGTAAGTACTTTGCCAATCTTCCCCTGGACATTGAAGCATGTGATTTTTATATTATTATAGTAAGAAGGCAGAAGTAAGAAGAGCTGTCAGTTGTGGTGGCTCACATCTCAAATCCTAACACTGGGGAGGCTGAGGCAGGAGGATTATTATAAGTTCAAGTCCAACCTGGATGGCAGAGTAAGACCACGTGTCAAAAGGCAAAGTAAATACTCGGAAGAAGCAGGGAATGCTTTAGACTCCAGCTAGGAAAATGCCACCCAGGGAAGACTTCGTCATCCCCCTTCCAGTGAAAAGTCCATTCATTGACATTCCAGGAAACAAAAGCTTATGAAACCAGATAATTTTTTCTGCTTGACTTTGGGGAGAGAGATTAGAGACAGGAAACTAAGAGCAGAAGGCCTTTCATAAGCCCCTGTAACATTTAAAACTAAACAAAGCAGCGAAGCACCAGTGGGAGCCAAAACTAATTAGAAGCCAAACTGAGGCTCGCTTTATCAGTGCAGAAATAAATCCCATAGAAAACAAAGAAGGACTTTTGTAATTAAATTTAATTGAGTGGAATAATGTTTGTCCTCGCTATTTGCAACTGTGGATTTTTTCCTTTCTTTTTTTAAAATAAAGATTGTTAAGGTATGCAATGCTCTAAGCTCTGTGTACAGTTGCAACAATTTAGAAAAGCAGGTACTTCAGAGCTACGTAGAAGTCAGGCAAGGCCCCTGATGTCAGGCTGGGTCCCCAGGGTGAGGTTTCCCAAGCTTGTTCATTGCTATGTTGCTAGGAGTTCAGCCTCACTCAGTGTATCCTCTGCGTGGAGTCTCCATTGATGTCAGGAGCAGTAGAGTAGTGGAGAATCCTAGAGAGTAAGACAGGGTTGTTTTTTTTTTTTTCTTTTGTTTTTTTGTTTTTTCTTCCCTAGAAGCAGTTTAGAATTGGGTGTGATGGGCAGGGAGCAGAGTGTAACCACTCCTTTAAGAAGTCTCTAGTTCAGGAGATCTTGTCCCTTTCTCTTTCTCCAGGGGACCATGTATGTCTCTCTTAGAGTCCTCCTTGTTGCCTAGCTTCTCTAGTGGTGTGGACTGTAGGCTGGTAATCCTTTGCTCTATGTGAAAACTCCATATACGAGTGAGTGAATACCATGTTTGTCTTTTTGAGACTGGGTTACCTCGCTCAGAATGGTTTCTTCTAGTTTCATCCATTTGCCTGCAAATTTCAAGATTCCATTGTTTTTTCCTGCTGGGTAGTACTCCATTGTGTAAATGTACCACATTTTCTCTATCCATTCTTCAGTTGAGAGACATCTAGGTTTCTACCAAGTGAGGGAGCTAGGAGAATGAGAAGGGGAGAAGAGGAGGGGTGAGGAGGACATAAGGGAGCAGGAATGTTGTGTAGGGGGGAGAATAGAGGAGAGCAAAGTAAGAGATACCATCAGAGAGGGAGCCACAATAGGTTTAAAGAGAAATCAGGCACTAGGGAAATATCCAGAGATCTACAAGGATGACACCAACTAACCAACTAAGCAACAGTGGATAGGCTACCTTAAATGCCCTCCCCTGATAATGAGATTGATGACTAACTTATATGCCATCCTAGAGCCTTCATCCAGCAGCTGATGGAAGTAGAAGCAGACACCCACAGCTAAACACTGAACTGAAATCCAGTTGCAGAAAGGGAGGAGTGATGAGCAAAGGGGTCAAGACCAGGCTGGTGAAACCCACAGAAACAGCTGAGCTGAACAAGGGGGAGCTCTTGGCCCTCAGACTGATCACTGGGAAACCAGCATGGAATTGATCCAGACCCCATGAATGTGGGTGTCAGTGAGGAGGCCTCAAAATCATATGGGGCCTCTTGTAGTAGATCAGTACTTATCCCTAGCATAGGAATGGACTTTGGGAGCCCATTTCACATAGAGGGATACTCCCTCAGCCTAGACACATGGGGGAGGGTCTAGACCCTATCCCAAAGGATATGACAGACTCCGAAGACCCCCTCAATGGAAGACCTCACTCTCCCTGGGGAGCAGAAATGGTATAGGATAGGTAGGGTGTTAGTGGCAGCAGGGGAGGAGGGGAGGGAGAGGGAACTAGGATTGACATGTAAAACAATGTTGTTTCTAATTTAAATAAAAAATGGAGAAAAAAAAGTCTCTAGCCAGGCAGGATGGCTCAAATCTTTAATCCCAGTACTCTGGTAGCTTGCAGGGGGGTTGGGGAGGGGAAGGTGGTTGTCAGATCTCTGTGAGTTCAAGGCCAGCTTGCCTGTTCTACCTAGTGAATTCCTGTCTCAAAAGACAAAACAAGCAAAAGAATAAATCTCTAGTCTGCTTAGGCCCCAGCCTGGCCTGGGAAACATTGGTGGATAATCACTTACTTTCTAAGATCGCCTGGGGAATGGTCTTGTTTGGGAAGACTGCCACAGATAGTCCTTAGGTGGGAGTTAGCAGCCACTGAATGTTTAACCCTTACATAACCAAGCCCTATCTTATATTTTTCATATTTCTAAATGTTTTTTTAGGTAGTGTGTATTGGTTATACATATAACAGGTTTTGTTTTGACTTTTTCCCAAACAGGTTATCATGTTTAACACCCTCACAGTCACCTTTTCACTCTTTCTACTACCCTTCCTCCTCCCAACAGTCTCCCTTCTCCCCTTCCACACTCCTCCTCATGACCCAGGAAGTCTCATTAGGGTAGCTTACAAGGCCATGAGTAAGGGGCTGTTTACAGAAACATAGGTATTACACCAATGGCTAGACTACTGAAGGAAATGTCTTTCTCTCCTATCCTTTTAATAAATCCTCGGGGAAGGGAGAGGCCACGAAACACTCTCCTTTCCATGACAGGGTGTTGACAGGCTGGTCTCACACAGATCTTACACAGATAACCACAACTTTTGTGATTTCAAAAGTTCATAGCTTTGTCAGGTCTGAAGAATCAGCACTCCGAATTGCATTGCTCCCTCCCTCACTTCCTTCAGTCTTTACAGTCTTCCTGCTATTGTTTCTGTGATGTTTGCTGAGCCACAAAGAGGGAGATGTAGATGTCTCATATATGGCTGGACATTCAACAGTCATTCATTCTTAGTTCTTTGACCAGTTATGAGTCTCTGCAGCAATGCAAAAAAGAAACTTCTTTGACCAAAGTGGACCAGTGATGCTAGTCTATAGACAAACATAGTTATTTAGAAGGGAGTTTGACAGGCATGTCTTGTACATTTAGCAAAAACAAAATAAAACAAACAGGCAAACAAACAGAAACACAAGTAGTTTTCCCATTAAGACCTATGCCCTCTCCAACCATGGGTCTCTGACCAGGTTTATAGTATGAGGTGTGAATTCCCTCCTGTGGAATAAGCATCAAATTCAACCAGAAAGCAGTTTGTTACTTCTTTGACGGAGTTGCCGTTATTGCATCAGTGGGTACACTTTTGCTTGGCCTCAAGGCCCTATCTTAAATACTTTCCATGTTATCTTGCTCAATATCCAACCTTTCCCAAATATTTCTTCTAGTACAGTCTTCACAGATCACTGGGCTAGGAATACCTCTAGTGAACGAAAAAACAAAACAAAACTCCAGTCCTGGTAAGTTTATTCTTCTTCCTTCCTTCCTTCCTTCCTTCCTTCCTTCCTTCCTTCCTTCCTTTTGGTCAGGGTCTTACCTTGTAACTTTGGCTGTCCTGGCTAGATTTGAATTCACCTAAATCTGTCTCCCAATGTTTGGATTACAGACATACACCATCATGACTGGTCTGGTTGAGTGATTCTTAGGAAAAACTAAAGCTTAAGAATCACTTCATTGGGCCGGAGAGATGGCTCAACGGTTAAGAGCACTGACTGTTTTTTCCAGAGGTCCTGAGTTCAATTCCCAGCAATCACATGGTGGCTCACAACCACCTTAAATGAGATCTGGTGTCCTCTGCTGGTGTGCAGACAGAAGACTGTGTACATAATAAATAAATAAAATCTAAAAAAAAAAGAATCACTTCATTGTTCTAGTTGAAATACAGCTAAGAAAAGGCTGTAGAGAAGTGTGCTCACTAGCTAGTTTTGTATCATCTTGACACAAGCTAAAGTCATCTGAGAGGAGGGAGCCTCAGTTGAGAAAACACCTCCATAAGATCAGGCTGTAGATAACCTTGTGGGGACATTTTCTTAATTAGTGATTGAGGGAATTATATTGAGGTAATCTTAGTGATAGGGGAGGACCCAGCCTATTCTGGGTGGTGCCACCCCTGGGATGGTGGTCCTGAGATCTATAAGAAAGCAGTCTGAGCAAGCCAGTAGGCAGCACCCCTCCATGGTCTCTGCATCAGTACCTGCCCTATTTGAGTGCCTGTTGTGATTTTCTTCAGGGATGGGCTATAGATGTGGAAGTGTAAGCCAAATAAACACTTTCCCCCAATTGCTTTGGGCCATTGTGTTTTATCATGGTGATAGCAAATCTAAATAGAATAAGGAGGAAATAAAGGCATCAGAGCAAATATCTCACAAAAGCAAAGCATAGTATGTGCTACAGTTTGAATGATGATGTCTTCCTCAAGATTCATCTTGAAACTTTATCCCAGTGCAAGAATATTAAGAGATGGGTCCTCAGAGGTGATGAAGTCATGAGGCCTTCATCCCTAGGAAGAGGAATAGTGCATTCATGAGGGCTTTAGATTGAAAAGATCATTCTTGCCCTTCCATTCATCTGTCATATGGTATCATAACCATTCTCCCTCAACAAGATGCAGCGTCAAGGTATCACACTGAGAACAGATGAAAGCCCTAACCAGACACAATCCATTAACACCTTGATTTTTAACTTTCCAGCTTCCAGAACTCTGAGAAGTAAACTTCTTTTGTTTGTAAATCACCCAATCCATGGTGTCTTGTAAAAGCAGCACACATGGACTAACACAACTCTAGACATCAAAGCTTAAGTATCCTCCTTAGGCCTCCTAGAATGATTTCTAGTGTGCCCACTTTACCTGTCCTCTGGGGCCTTGTAGGTTATCCCTTAATGAAGGGGAAGGATAAATCTCTCATAGTTATCCTAGATTTTTCATTCTCATTTTTATAGTTCATGTCAATGTGTATTGTGAATGAAAAACAAACTAGCTCATTGTCCAGCGCACCAAAATATAGCCTCCTGATGGGGGATGTCAGAAAAGAAGGACAAAAAGGATGAGTTGAGAAGCTGGCAAACCACTGTACAAGGTAGCCATGTCACGTTTCCTGTGGAACTGAAGCTCACCTTCAGTAAGACCTTCACCTTCAAGACTTGTAATATGTGGAACAGATGTTTTAATTTACCAGAAATCATTTGCATAATCAATCCTACACGTGGTTTATCAAACCTGCCAAAGAGCAGGTGACAATATGAAATTAATATGACTACTAATTTGACACATCATTGAGATTAATTTGACCTCTCCTGACCTCATCACACCCAGAGGTCTGTATAGGCAGGAACAGTGAGCTATGAAATGCCATATGCAGCAATCTAAACCCATCTCGGCAACGTCAATGAAGCAGCCACCTTGCTCAGCCAGACCTCAGACTTCAGCTGCTTCCTTTCAAACTCTAAATTGAGATGAAGGCAATGGGGGTATATCTAACTCAGAGTGTCCATGATTTTATGAAAAATAATTGACCCATCTCTCTTTCTATATAATGTGTGTGAATGTCATCTTCCTGGCTTCTTGATTGTCCCTCAACCCCAGTCACAAGGAGCTACTACAGTTGAGAACCCATTAGCTTAAATGTTTACTTTCAAGCCTAGATAATTAAAATAAAGGATTTAAATATATAATTTTGACAACAAAAGTAAATTATTTGAAACAATAGAAGTGTCTTTCCATAGAAGATTGGTTAAATAGAATAATATTTTGTGCCAATGAAATGCTATGTAGTCATTTGGATAATGTGGGGAAGCACATACATAGATGTTTTTGGGACATGAAGGAACTACATTGTAAACATGTGAACTATGACCTCATTTCTGTAAAGAAAATCTCACATGTATGGTCTCTGGAAAAGGTAAATGCCACATTAACTATGGTTAATACATGATAGAATTAAAAGGGCATTATGAGTTTTCCTTTTATTTGTATTTTGAATTTTTAAAAATTTCAACCATGAGCATGCTTCTGTTGTTATTGTGGTGGTTTTATGATAGAGAGAAAAAATGCTGTGTCTCTAAAATCATGGTGGTGCATCTAACTCAGTAACTATTTTACTCTCTGAACTCCAGTCATGTTTCTATTAACTGGTTTCTCTCTTACAGCAAAGAGGCAACACCGAGAACAAGTTGGGGGTTTCTGTCATTCCATCATGGGTCATGGGGATTGAACTCAGGTCTTCAGGCTTGGTGACAGGCCCCTTTACCTGCTAAGCCATATTGATAATCCAAGAAACAGTTAAAATATATATAATATTTTAAAATTTATTCTTTGATAATTTCATACATTTATACAGTGGATTTTGATCATATTCACCTCTTTCTCTAATCCCCCTAGATCTCTTACTCACATGCTCCTCCCATTTTGTGTCTTATAAGAAACAACCCAACAACCCACTGAGTTCAATTATTGCTGTCAATATGTGCATGGGGGTGGGTCATGCACTGTAGTGTGGTCAAACTACCAGGGGACAACATCACTGAGAAAAATTGATTCTTCCTCTTCCAGCAGCCACCGTCTTCCAATTGTGCCTCAGCTGGGGGATGGGGCCTCATGGGCCCTGCCCACTTCATGTTCGAGTGTTGACTGGCTTTATCTTGTTCAGGTCTCATACAGGTGACCAGCTGCTGGGCATTCACTGGTCTACAGCCCTGTCAAGTCCAGAACACACTGCTTTGCAGAAGTCCTCCCCGTGCTCTCTATCTTACAATCTGTCTGAGTTTAAGATTGAGCATTCTGCAGTGCTCCCTGGAACTTTTGGGGAGGACACGTGATATAGTGGTCCCATTTATGGTTGAACAACTCACAGACATCTCTTCTCTGCACTTTGACCAGTTGTACTGGGACACAGTCCAAGAACGGTCCGTGTGAAAAGAATTCTGAGTGCTTGTGAGGAAACTCCAAGAAAACAAGACAAGAATCTTGTGACTTCAGTTTCTTCAAATCACAGAATTGTTTTGGGAATGCGTTTTCATGCTCCTCCAAGGTGTAGTGGATAGCAGTGAGTTTTCTTCAGATTACTCACTATTGCTTGCTGTTGTTATTCAACTATCCTTTGTATGCTTTTATGGAAATACATGTTTTTGACATGTGTAGCTTGTCCTGTGATTGTATACAACTTGAACTCAAGAGAACTTTCCGCAGGGGACCTCTCTTAACCCTCAGAGTATAAATTGTCCAATGCTCTGAATAAAGTTGGCTATTGCACGAGACTTTAGTCTGCCTTATTTATCTGCTTCACTCTCCCAGGTCCTACTGCCCCTAGAGCAGTGACAGTGAGTCCCTGTACTAACCATTATTCACTTTGCATAAAGAAGCTCTCTGATGAGGACTCAGAGCTGCAATACTCTATGGGTATAAAGATGAGTATATAGAAGATACTATGTCCAGCTAGCAAAATAACAGCAGTCAGTTCTCCCTTAGGGACTAGTTGCTCCCCAGCCATGGGTCCTTGGCCAGATTTACACTGCTAGGCATGTGTTTCCTCTTGTGGAGTTTATTGTAAATGCAACCAGAAATTTATTAGTCTCTACCATAACATTTATGCCACATTCCTCACGTGAACATCTTGGCAGGCCTGTCATTTCTCTCAATATGAAAGTTATCTGGCAGGAAGGAAACTTCCAGGTAAGAGTCATCTTGATTTCTTCATGTGCTATGATCAAAGTGTGTGGTATCTTCAGCAATAGGACCGTACCATAAAATTCAGGTGGTGGGCAAACTAGAGCAATGGCAATAGCCTGAACCAATTTGGGGGTAGGTCTCCCACATAAACAACTCAAAGGGAGGAACCCCATACTTGGCATTGGGCTTTTTTTGGTTGAACAACTAGTGGCTTTTGGGAAGAGCTTTATTCCCCATGTAAGGTGACTCCCCTTATAATTTTTTTAATGTATGGATTTGGAAAGCTTATAAAATAGTAGCTTTATATAAAGCTTTCCCCAATATCCTTAGTGTAAGTTATCTCTCCCCAACCTCCCATTCATCCTCCCCTCCCCAATGAAGGCTTCCCCTATTATTCCCCTTTCCCTGCTTATACCACCTGTGTTCTATTATACCCCTTCATCAAGATCTTTCTTTCCCCCTTCCCATGCCCCTTTCCAGTGTTGTGGCTTCTACATGTACTCCAAGTTAAACACACACATCTAAAGGTTTGAAGCAAAGATCCATATATAAGAAAGAACATATGGCATTTGTCTTTATGGGTTTCCCACAGTGCAGGAAATAAGACCAAAAAACTGACAAATGGTCCCTCATCAAACTAAAAAGCTTCTGTATAGCAAGAAACAAAACAAACAAACAAAAACCAAAACCCCATCCAACCAGCTTCACCCTCTATTCAGATTCCTTTGGCTTTCCTGGTGCTCTTTTTCTATCCCAGGGTCCCATCTAGCATATGATTTTATGTTTACCTGTCATATCTTCTTAGACTACTTTTGGCTGTGACAGTATCTCAGATTTTTTTTTTTTTACTTTGGCAATTTTGAGGGTCATTGCTTTGGTATAGTGCAGGATGCCTCTTTATTAGACACCATCTCATGCTTTAGTAAGGGTAACACTGAGCTATAAGGGTTTAGAAGAGGAAGGTTTCAGAAGTAAATGTGTCATTTTCATTGTGTCATATCAAGGATCATACTGTCAGTAAGATTTATGACTACTGATAGCAACATGGTCTGACTAAGACAGTGTTTTTTGGGTTTCTTACTCTTAACACTACTCCTGGCCCACTCTTCCCACACTTTTGGGAAGGAAACCACTAATTTAATGCCCACATTCGAAGAATACCAACATAAATGCTTTGAGATTATTCTGTGTCAGAGACCTGTCTTGTCTCTCTATTTACAATTTATTCAATAATTTCTTAACATAAGCAAGACTTGTGAAAGTTTATTCTGTGCATTGGGTTTCGGCCATTGAAAAACCTTTCTGGGGCTGGAGAGATGGCTCAGTGCTTAAGAGCACTGACTTCTCTTCCAGAGGACCCAAGATCAATTACCAGCATCCACATGGCAGCTCATAACTGTAACTACAGTTCCAGGGGATCAACATCCTCACACAGACATACATGTAGGCAAAACACCAATGTACATAAAATAAAATAAAAAAATCTTTAGAAAAAAAAAAGCCTTTCCATTGGGTCTTTGTGTTTACTTTTTAACTGTGAAGTTGGTTAGCATTCTGGTTAGCAGATATATGTGTATGTATGTATATGTATATATATGAATATTTGAATGAACACACACATACATACATATATGAATGAATCTATCAGTATAGCCATTATACTCTGCAACATGAGGTGGCCTTCCTTCCCCAGGTGTCCTAGAGGAAATGAGCATAGCGGTGACAATCAGAATCATGAATGTCAACACAGAAAAGAGGAGAGCACCTCGTGATGCCTCATAGTTCTAGCATCATCTGATGAGGGCTTGCTGGCCACAGGGCTGAGGCCTGGAGGCTACTGGTGGCATCTGCCCTTGTTCCATATTCTCTCCCCCCATTAGCCCAGCTCTGCACCAGGCATCTTGTTTTTACAGATGTTGTCTCAGTCTGGCGACAAGGCCATGCATAGACAGATGGTGACTGAGTCAAGGGCTTTACAGACAAAAGCTGTCATATAGCTGGCAAACTTGGGGATCCCCAAGGCAAAGGCCCCGGGAATGTAGATCAGAAGCGGAAGGGTTTGATTAGCTCCTCGTTGAGAAACAGGCCTCTCAAACCTCAGTGGCTCAAAAGGACAGGATGTTTCCTGGCTCCTGAGGTTGCGTGCAGGAAGTACTCAGTACGGAGGCTCTGGTGTGGGGCTTTCATGATGGAAACTAGGGTCACCTCAAGCTGAAGTTCTTGATTTTTCCCACAGGCTGCTGTCTATGTACTAACTACACAGCATTTGTGTTGAGCCACTTGGGGTCTGAGACAAACGATATCGATGGTGTCTTATTTTGTCAGTTATGTACATTTTTTTTTTTAAATCCATTGGTGGAGGTGTTGCACAATAGTGAGGCAAGAAGGTACCACAGATAGCTAAGTGTTGCCTAGAGTGTGTCTTTCTCCATTCTAGTCCTTTTCAAAAACTCCTGCCCTTCAGATTTATTCTACAGCACCGGAAGCCCAGTTCTTTGCATATTGTTTCTCTTCTGTCAGGGAAGAGGCGGATATTGCTGCTGATGTCACATTCCAGTGCATGCCACCACTACCCAGTGACACACACTGCTGGCTCTGGACCTCACTATCTTTCCCTATGACTCGGGGAAGGAGGGATAGGAAATGACATTTCATTATAATCTTCGGGATAGATGTTAGTCATGGAATATTTTAGAGTGAGCCTGAAGTGAGGTGGGGAAACAATGTCACTCCAAAGTCAAGGAACCTGCGCAAACACGAACAACGCTCAGACTCCTTGACAGCGACTAATCCGCTGCTTCGTGCTCTGGGCTGCGCCATCTCACCCCTTTTGCTGTTTGTCTAGTGACTCATTTCCAGGAGGCTTTGGAGAAGGACTGATCATCTGGCTGGACACAGATATCTTTTTAGTATGGACCCAGCTTCTTGCTCATTGTGAGAATCCCGGCAGGTCTTTTTCTCTTCATTTTCTCCTCCCATTGTTCTCACTGACCACACTTTCTTACAATTTTGGTTGGCTGGTTGTGAACCTAGCCTTTAATGGCTGAGCCATCTCTCCAGCCCTGACCACACTTTCTTATTCCTAAACTTTTCAGTTTTAACACATGATGTCATGCGACAATCCTTGGTAGGGAGCCCAACTGCTTCCTCCTTTGGGCAGTTCCTGATTCTCCCTCTCCTCTCTCCGCTTTATAACATCAACTTCTCCCATTCCTCCATCTTCTCAGTTTTATGACACTGCATCTCATTTTTTTTCTGATGAGATCAGCCCTTCTCTATTATACACATAATATTTAATGGGACCCATTCCCAGCTCAGCTTTTGAAATGCAATTAGATTCTAATCTAGTCCTCTCATTTTCTAGCCATGGCTTTTAAAGTCAGTTAATGTTCTAATATGACGCCATTCATTCTAATTTAATAATGATATGAAAACACATCCCGTGTATGCCTCTTACCAAACTATTACCATTAGAAGTGAAACCCTAGTTATGAAGACATAGGATAGGACTGGTAATTTAATAACAGCAACCATTTACATCTATTCTATCTGTATTACTTACACTATTTGATACCTGCAGTAATTTCTAGCATATGCCACCATTTCATAGATGAGAAAGGTTATGATCACAGACCTCATTGAACCTATGTGGGCTTTGTTTTGCTCTTGTGTGGTTACTGAAATGCTATTATACAGTCTGTTATCTAGAAATAGCACAGCACTCTCTAGGTTATAACACAATGCACGGATATTATAGCTGGATTCTAATTTTTCCTACTGTGAATGAAAGATAAACTAGCTTAAATATGGCTATATTTTAAAGCAGTAATTCCTGACAGTTACCTATAACTTGCAGGTGTCTAGAAACTGCTTCTCCCTTTTTCTCAAGGGGGCAGCCTTGTTATGATAGTGTCCTGCTCTGGCCTCTGGCCTCCTCCCATAGGTTTGTAGGTAAGGATTTTAAGCACATTCATTTGCAATATTTTCATCTGTCTGAAGGTGACTTGGAATAGTTGGGGGCTTATGTGAAGCCCCAGTAATTGCACCCTGGGGATGGCAGCCTACAGAGAGACTGGGCGGTGGCATTTGAGTACCTGCTTCAGTTTTTTTCTTTCCCATGAATTCTGAAGACATTCTTACATCTTGAAAATAGATTACACTTTGGACTGATGCTTGTTTATCATCAATCAATCCCCCAAATTTTAGCTTCTCTTGACTTCCTGTGGGTTGAAAGTCACTGAAACATGAGGACGTCATCCAAAGTCTGACTCATACTGGCTCCTGATCTTGAATACCTCCAAAAAAATCTTACTGATTATAAGCAGTTGCATTAAAATGTTAAGATCTGTTTTTGATAAAAATAAAAACAATTCTAAAGTGAATATGGAAACTAAAAAAAAAAAATCCTTGAGAAAAACAAAAAGCATGAGGCACCAGACTCATTGACTTCAAAATTCAAAGCTACAGCTGTCAAGTTCAGTACTGGCATAAGGACGGATACAATGGCCCAATGAGAGGAATAGCAAGCCCAGGAATAGATTAATATATTCACATGAGCTCAACTTGAAGAAGGGTGCCAAGAACGTGCAATGAGGAAAGGACATATGGTATTGGTAATTGATGATATATAGAAAACTAAATGTCCACATGCACAAGAATGAACTTGAAACCTTATGTGTCACATCATTCACAAAAGTAAACTCAAAATGGATTAATGACTTAAATGGAAGACCTTAAGCTGTAAAACTACCAGAAAAATGGCAAAAACAATTTTCAATATTGGTGTTTACAATGATTTCATAGCTGGAACTACAAAAAACACAGTCAACAAAAGCAAAAATAAGCCATGGGTGTCACATCAAATTAAAAAGTTTCTGTATAGCAAGTGAATAAATCAATGTTATGAAAAGGTAAACCATTGGATGCCAGAAAATACAACTATTCTAATAATGTGGTAATTTTCACAATATAAGAGAAATTTTACAAGGCACATCAAAGCAAAACTCTAACTTTACTATCCAATATGCTTGGGATTTTGTTGTTGTTATTTTTTTGAGACAGGGTTTCTCTGTAGCTCTGGCTGTCCCAGAACTTGTCTTGAGGACCAGGCTGGCCTCGAACTGGAAGATCAAGTGCTTTGCCTTCTGGATGCTGGGATTAAAGACTGCACCCAGCTCAGTTTTGGAATTTGAAGAGACATTTCTCCAAAGAATACACAACAGTGACCAATAATTATGCAAAATGATGACTAACATCACCGACTCTCAAGGAAATAAAAAGCACAGGGAGCCATGACTTTACCTCTGTTGTGTGTTGAGATGGCTATTATCAAAGAAAGGGAGAGAAATTCCATTGTATACTAAGTCTAGATAAACCTCAAGGGAACTGTGCTAAATAAAATAAGCCAGTCATAGATGACAAATACTAATGGGTTTTTGTTTGTTTGTTTGTTGTTTTTGTTTTTAAGACAGCATCTCTCTACATAGCCATTGCTGTCCTGGAACTCACTCATTGTGTAGTCCAGGATGGCCTCAAACACATAGAAATCACCCTGCCTCTGCCTCCTCAGTGCACCATTATCGCTATGCATCCCAAGTCATGTATCTCGCTATGTATCCTAAGCTAGTTAGGAACTCTGTGATACCAACCCTTCAGAGTGCTGAGGATTCTGCATATATGAAGTATCTGAAATAGCCACCTCTTAGCAGCCAAGGGTAGAGCAATGGCTGCCAGAGGTTGTTGAGTGGTGGGTGGAATTGTTCATCTACACATATGAAGTCCCAGATCTGCAGGATGGTAAGCTCCAGAAGTCAGCTAGATAGCACCATCCTTACAATCTGGACTGTCCTGTGCTGAAATGCCTGCTAAGAAGTAGACCTCATGTCATTTTCTCGCCACAAAAAACAAATAACAGCCAAGTTAAACAATAAGATGGGTGAAAGCAAGTGCAAACAGTTTTATTGGTTTTGGCTAATTATGGTAAGTTTTATTCCACAGTCTTTCTCTCCCTCCCTCCCTCCCTTCCTTCCTCCCTGTCTTCCTTTCTTCCTCCCCATCTCTCTCTTTCTTTGAGACAAGTTCTCACTGTGCAACTGTAGGGTCTGAGGAAACACTGAAGGAAGACCCCAGACTCAAATAGTATGTAAGAGAAAAGAGCATTTATTATACCAGCATATGTGGGGTCATTTACCTGTATAAAATGGCAACGACCCAGAGAGGAGCATGCAGGCTCCTTCTAAGCACAGTTAAGGGGAGTTTCAGGGACAGTTACATCATCTCAAATATGATTGGTTAAACAAGCAGCAGTATATATAGTATACTTTTAATTGGCTGAGGTTTAGTTTTATCATTTTTGGACTCAGAAGGGGGCTGCTGGATTTGTCCTTGAGACATTGTGAGGCTGACTAAGGCCTTGTGTTTGCTCTCTCCCTGATCCCTGAATACAAGGGTATTGTGGGAAAAAACTGTCCCTTTGTTGGGAGAGATACCTGCCCTTCTCAGAGAACTGAAACCTAAATTCAGTTGTGAGACTGGGAGAGTTTAACCCCTTCACAACCAAGCTGCCTGGAGCTCACAATCCTGCCTCTGCCTTCTTAGTGCTAGGGTTACAGGCATCTGCCACTATGACTAGCTTCATCTTTGTTTCTTTAAAAACTTTTAAAAAACCTATTTATTTATTTTTGTGTGTTCAAGCATGCAGGGAACATCATTGTCTATGTGCTGGTGGAGGTGGGGGTAGGGTTGGGAGGGTGAGTTTGTATGTGAAGGGGTGTGTCTGGGAATGATATCTTTTTGATGATGTTAAAAAGTATCTTGGAGCTGAGGTGATACAGGTGCCAAATTCCCAAAGTGGAAAAGACAATGTTGGGTTGTATGTAAGTGTTGGGGTGACCCCCTAGGCAGGTCAGCATTGGTCTACATTGATGGGAAGGTAGGGTAGGTCATGGTGTGCCAGGAGAATGTGCCTGAGCATCTCTCTGGTGCAAACAAAATGGGAGATGGTTCTGCAGATAGCTGATGCCTTTAAGACAGGTAGGTGATTGTTGTGCCATTAGCTTTTCTCTTCTCTCATTCCTATCAGGGTTCTGTATCCCTCTCTGAAATTCAGATATATAAACAGCGCGGAGGATAGAGAGAAGGGCATGGTGGCAGTGCACATGACCTTTGGGTGTTTTCTCTGCTCTACATTCTATTCTAAGGACTGTTCATAGCATTATACCAGGATAGGAAGACCTCCAGATGAAAATTCTAAGGCACAACCCCTGCAGGGTTCAACATTGTCCCAAATATGAAAACGTGCAATTCTGATGTCATTCGATTACCATTACTTTTCAGTACTTTCAAACCACAAATACAACTAATTTTTTTCCATTAAAGCCTTAGTTCATTTTTTTCTTGCAGTACTTATCACCTATTGCAAGGGAGTAGGGAAGCCCAGAGGGGAGTATCTCCACATTGTCCACAGCTTTGGACAGAAAGCAGAAGCCATGCTCTTCTCCCAAAGTAAGCTTATACGTAACTCCTGTCTGGGTTCCCACCCATTTGACTGGGTCTGTTTGTCATTTTGGGGAGCTTTAGCACTTTCCCCAGTGAATCAAAGTGACCCAGGTGTTTGCAAGCACTGAGTGGGGTGATATGATCTCAGTGATTCCAGTGAGGCTAAAGACCTGGCTACGGGTAACTGTCTAGGAGTGTGCACACAGTTAAGCATCCAAGTCAGGGAACAGCCCAGTCAGCATCCAGAGGTCTATAAACCCCTGCTTTTTATTAAGGGGATGCTGATAAGAAACTGGACCAGAATAAAGCAAAGTTTAGGAGGCCTGGAATTTCATTTCTGCAATGTTCTTTAAAACCAGGTTCTGTCAAAGATCTGAAGTTGAAAATACCTCATGTGTCTTATGGAGAGGCATGGTGGTTGCACTGATACTATTCTATGGTCATTCCCAGCAGAAACCCATCCATAGTTATGTGACTAGGCCCTGTGATGAGGTCATATGTGTCTGGGTAATTTGTGCACATGTGTCATTTTGTCACTTTCTTTTAAAAAATTGAAAATTCACTGAATATATATAACATGAGTATAATGTAATGCTTGACAGGCCAAGTAAAATGCCTCCTTTAGTGTCCATCCCTGCCTCATTCTTTCTCCTATACGTTCAGGTCACTAGGTTCTAATGATTGGAGTCATTCTTGGTGAATAATGCTGGGCCATGCTGCAATATTTGTGGCTGAGAGCTGGACCCTCGTCATTGCCACGTATTTTGTCACCGAGGCAGGGTAACCCATGGTAACTAAGCTCGGATCAGTGAAGGGGCAGAGAGCCTCCCCTCTCTCCTGCTCTATAAAAGAGACCCAGGAAAGGACCCTAGCAGCCTCGAGCTCTCAGCGTGGGTGAAGGTGTGGGAAGAAACGCCTAAGGTCTCCGCAGCAGAGCGCACCAGCTGCAGAGACAAGGCCAGCATGTCACCGAACTTCAAACTCCAGTGTCACTTCATCTTGATCCTCCTGACAGCTCTAAGGGGAGAGAGCCGCTACCTCGAGGTGAGGCATTCTTCCTTGATCCTTAACACCTTTCCTGTGGGTATTCAGACAAGGGCAGCGGACAGGAGTTTGATATTCTCCTCTCTGTTGCAACCATCCTCTTTGCTCTGGTTCTCCTAGACTTGCTTTCTTTCTCCTTGCCTCTGAGCATCCTAACTGCCTTCCTTTCTCTGGCCGCTGAGGATGCCTGGGTACCCTGATCTGATGGGAAGAATCTAAGATTCACTCGTAGTCTCTAGACTCGGGGAGACATGGACTCCCTCTCAGTTTGCTTCTCTGAGCTGCAAGGAGGGTGCCCTGCTCCTGGTCCACTTTCTTTCCCTCCCCCGGAACTTTTTGGGACCGATCTGCTTTCCTTGCCAGGTGCAAGAAGCCGCGGACTATGACCCTTTCCTGCTCTTCAGCGCCAACCTGAAGCGGGACCTGGCCGGGGAGCAACCATATCGCCGGGCTCTGCGTGAGTCGGGCTGTCCTGCTCCACTGTGTGGGCGCCGGGAGGCGGGAGGCTGGGACTCTGCGCCTGGGACACAGGCTTGCAGGATCTCCGGCCAGGGGCTGGCTGGGACCTCCCGGTTGTGGCATCCATGAGGTTCCTTCCAAGCCAGAGGGAGGGAACCCAGTACAATCTCAACTGGGAGCTCCAGCATGGGGGCACCGCGAGTTTCGGAGCCCGAGAATGGGGCGTGCTAAGAGCGGCTTCCTGACAGCTGGGGACCCCTGGCTCCATTCTCTCTTCCAGGATGCCTGGACATGCTGAGCCTCCCTGGTCAGTTCACCTTCACCGCTGACCGGCCGCAGCTGAACTGCGCCGTCTTCTTCATCGGGGAACCCGAGGAGTTCATCACCATCCACTACGATCTGGTCTCCATCGACTGCCAGGGTGGGGACTTCCTGAAGGTGAGGAGGTTCCCGCTCCACGCAGCCCCAGCCTGCATGCCCCTAAGCTCGGCCACCCGGGGCAACTCTGAACCAATTTGTTCCTGAGTCTCGGAAGCTTACTGGGGGAGCCCCAGGAGGCTGGGTTCCTAGGGAAGGTCTAGCCCCATACACTGCGCCCCTGGATGCTGGTGGTTTAGTTTCCCTTCTGTGTGCTCCCCAACTCCTAAGAACTTCCTAGCACTTGAGCAAGCAGCATGAGACGCTGTGGTGCAACCTCGGGGTAGACAAAATATGGAGAAAATAATTAGCAGGAACTCTTCTGGAGTCTATCGTGAGAACCTCTTAGCCGGCGAGTTCTCCCCTTCCTATTTGAGATCTGAATCCACCTCGCTCTTCCAGGAGCGCAAAGGCTCTTGGGAGCCTGGCTGATGCGGTTTGGGGGCAGCAGGACACCCCCAAACGCTGAGAGGCGTTCTGGTTTAAGACAAGTGAGAAGAGAGGAGTATCACCCAGCCCCGCAGCATCCTCACACAGGGCAGCCGAGGAGGGCTGGATGGAGTTCTATTGCCCCAACAAAACAAGCTCGCTTGGGACTTCCAAAGTAGAACCATTTGTGAAGCTGTCAAGCTTGCTAGAAATAATTTGTGCCCAGGTTGTTGGTAATGTTGCTATGATGGACTCATTAAAATGGAGCCCTGCCGTGATTTTGAGAGCGGAATCAATTGACTTTGACCCTTTGTCCCAAAGCTAACTTAGGAAGCGATGAGGAAGTCTTACATGACTTACTAGCTAGCACCACCTGACTGCAACATTAAACACGCACGCACGCGCGCGCGCGCGCACGCACACGCGCACACACACACACACACACACACACACACACACACACACACACACACACACACACACACATACACACACACACACACCAACTTGAGATGATAATTTTCTTTTAATGTGAAGAGTGGTAAAGAAGCTGCAGCTTCCCCCACCCCTCAGCATCACTTTGACACAATCACTCTATGTAACCTAGGTTGGCTGCAAACTCATGATGCTTCCTCCCTCGGCCTCTGCAGTACTGGGGTTACACACATCCTCCATCATATCCAGAAAATTTTTGTTGTTGTTGTTACTTATTCTTTGAGATCTGTTGTTGTTGTTCACATTTCACTGACTAGAGGCAATATAGAAGCTGAGGTCCAGTGAAATCCTAATAGTGATGCTGTATAGTTCATTTGAATATGGAAAAGACAAAAATATCAGTGTTGTCTAAATTTCCTTTTACCAAACTAGCTGATAAAGTATAAGAAGGTGTGCTAACTTAGCAGCTTGAAGGCTTATACAGAAAAAAATGATTAATTGATAATATTGCTTGCAACCAACCTGCACATTCAAAATGCATATAAATGAAAAGCTATCAGGCTGTGGGTAGGGGCTGCAGGTTCCTTGCTTATGACTGAAAGTTCATTGTTGGGTAACTTTCCCCCTCTTTTCAAAAAATTCTGACTTCAGGCTGGCTAAAGTGACTGTTTATGTCTGTACTATTACTGTTATTATTATTTATTATCACCATCATCACCACCACCACCACCACCATCATCATCATCATTTGAAGGTATTTGATGGCTGGATCCTCAAGGGGGAGAAATTCCCAAGTTCTCAGGATCACCCTCTACCCATCCTGAAGCGTTACACAGATTTCTGTGAGAGTGGTCTTACCCGAAGGAGCATCAGATCTTCCCAGAATGTGGCCATGGTCTTCTTTCGGGTCCATGAACCAGGAAATGGTTTCACATTAACCATCAAGACAGACCCCAACCTCTTCCGTAAGTAAGCTCAAGGAAAAGACAGGACTCCCCCATGGTGGGAGGTGGCCACACCTGCTTTGTAAAGGTCAGGTCATATTGCTTCACATACTTAAACCAAGGAGTGTGTGAGGTCTTTATTCCTTGTTATGAAAAATCAAACCACAGTTTTTGATTTTATTTCCCAGGCTAGGCAATACTCTCATATATGGTACATACACTTTTATTTTTCCTCCAAAGTCTTGTTCTACCCTCCTCAGGCATTCCAATGGGTGCTGTAAGGAACTTTAATCTCTCAAACCATCCCCCAGGTGCAGGATAAGCTTGAAGGATCACTAGGTGCCAGAGCTTTATAAACAAAGGCTGTGGAGTTGAGCTTCTGAGACAAGGTGGACAGATGTCATAACCTGAGGGGGAGTGGACCAGAGTGGCTCTGTGTCACTTTCTTCTATGTTATCTTCTACCACAAAGCCACTGCCCTAACTCAGTTCATTTCTGATAGAGAAACACAGAGATTATTCTGTAAAACTATAGAGCTGAAGATGAAAGAGTATGATTTTGAGCAAAATGAGTCCATGCACTAGCCTATTTTCTCATTAAGAGAAAACCCTGGGAGATGGGACATAGTTAAGAAGTACACCACTTGTCCGAGGGTACACAAAACTTGGGTTTAAACTCTGGCATCAGGAAGGGAGAATGAGAGAGAGAGAGAGAGAGAGAGAGAGAGAGAGAGACAGAGAGAGAAAGGAAGAGAGAAAGAGAGAGAGGAAAATCTGAGGCTATCTGAGTAGAATGATTGGAGAGGACACATTTCTCCTGGAATCTACTTGGTAAGAAATCAGAAGATGCCTTTTAGAACTGTCAAGGAATTTCACTTCTTTCTTAAATTAAGTGTAATAAAAAATATAAGGAGGTAGGTTATCCCAAAGGCAAACCCTATGTCTGTTTCATAGATAGAAGAACATCTTGGTTGTAAGTTTGAAATAAAAAAAAAAAGACAGAAAAACTTCAGAAAACCTTAAGACTACCAAGATTTAAAAGTTGATCATTTAGTCAACAGTACATTGCTCAATACCCAGCAAATAACTACTAGGTATAAAACGGTTGTTTATTTTAGTCTTGCCTTCCTTTGTCATTATCATGAAGTCTTTAGAATAAAGTTACTTATGGCTTTATTTTTTTTTTTAAATAACACCATGGCTCCAAATCCTAGGGGTGAGGATTTTCCACAGCATTAGGTTCTGGCTTCATCTTTGAGCCTTGAGGCCCACCCTTTGGATGCTGGGATGTAAGAGTGTAGTCTATAAATAGGGTTGGCCCCATTCACAACTATCCTGGGCACATGTGGTCAGTGGGCCCCAGGTTGGACATATCTACTAGACCATGAACTGAATTCTAGAGTGAAGATATCATGAATTTCTATTTTAAAAACCAGCACTCCAAATAATATAATTGTAACGTTTTCTCCCTAAAGCTTGCAATGTCATCTCCCAGACCCCGAGTGGAAGGTTTACTCTGGTGGTCCCACATCAGCACCAAAACTGCAGCTTCTCTATCATCTACCCTGTGGCAATCAGAATCTCTGATCTCACCCTGGGACACTGGCATGATCTCCAGTTAAAGGTCAGTGGCTTGCTTGCTCCTTGGCCATTTGGTAAGGCCACTGGTTTTATCAGAGCCAAAACACACCTTGTGTCAGGAAGGTGGAACCGTGTGGCTGCTGCCTTTAAGTTTCCCATATGCTGCACTGGCTTCGTCAAAGTCTATTTCAGTCACACTGGAGGCAAACACTCAGGTGCCTGTCCTGACTACTCCAGTACTCCTCTTGTGACATAGGAAATGCTTTCATTGGTAAAGCTACAGTATGTAATTACAATTGGACGCTCTTGTACTTTCCTCTTTTGCAAAAATCCTCTCCTAGCCGAGCCTCCGGTGAGTCATCAACACAGCTGCTTTCCTGATTATTGGAATTTTCTTTTGATACGAAGCAAGTCTCTCTCCCATTGACAGCACTGCTCTATGAAAGAATGCTAACGGTGGCATAAAATATGAAATTGGATTTTGATATAAGCAGTAAAGTTTGAAGAGCATGTTATATGACATTTTTGCCTAAAAAGAAAAATTAGCTGTGAGATTCCTATCAACTTGCTTTCATATCAATTTCTGTATGTGCCTTAAAATGAAGGCTGGCTTGACTGTATCTGTTTGCACAGATAGTGACTTCTCTGTGAGTCACACTCATTTCCTTTTCCTTGTTCAGAGGCCTAAGCTAAAATAACATTTGGTGGTATTAGAGGCAGCCAGCGTTCTCAAACATACAGATCTTTGTGAAAACTAAATAAGGAACAGGGCTGAGAAAAATAATTTCTATCCAACTTCCTCCAGGCCCCAGATTCATGTGGCTTTGCCTCTTCTTTGTTGTTGTTATTGAACCTTGATGGAGGAATGGTCCTTTGATAAGGATGTCTTAGTGATTTGGGTCCAACCTGATAGTGTTCCTATGGCATGCCATTCTTCATGTACAGTCTAGAAGGGGGAAGGTGTGGTAACAGATCTGAAGGTCTGTGATTTATGTAATGAAGCTCTAAGAATAATTTTTGGTAGTCACTTTAGCATTTTAGAGACTACTTTGTTCCAGGCATCAGTTCCTTTACAATATTGGCCTGGGTATTGAGAGCTAGGTATGGTGGCTTACACTTGTAATCCCAGCACTGGGAGATTAAGGTAGAAGAGCCTCTTGTGCCAGGCTAACCTGGACTACATAGCATGATCCTTCCTTTAATACTACTACCGTCAATACCGCAATACTAATAATACTAATAATAGTAAATATTAGTAATAATATAAAATTCCTTTGTACAAGGGGAATATTCTAGATTCTAAAAATAAGCAATGGACAAGGCAGGTCCTGCTCACGGGGAGTCTATTTTCTAGTAAGATGACAGGCAAAATTATCACCGATTTCAAATCACACTAAGTCTGTACAGAAAATGCAGCGGAGTGTTTGATAGGCAGGAACAGGAAAGTGGAGAGACAGAGAGCACTGCCTGAGACAATGTGGTTAGGAAAGGAAACTTCTGAGAAGGAGATGCTCAAGATTTGACCCGAACAATAGGCCAGAATGAGCACCAGCTGTGGGCAGAAGGAAGAGCAGAGGGAACAGTGCTGCCAGGCAGAAACAGGCTTGCTGGATCCTAGAAACAAGAAGGAGCAAAGTAGAGATGGAGATGGGAACTGCAGTGAGTGCTGTCCATCCATAGAAGGTGTGAGCTGCAGGTGCAGTGGGGAAGCTGTGGGTTCTGGTGGGAATGAGCTGGTGTGTGCTGTCTGAAGGTCACTCTGGCTCCCACCTGGTGAATGGGCTGGGGGATATGCTGCCTTTTTCATGGCCTCTGTGAGATGACTCTTATAAACTGGGTGGAAAGACTTCAAGTGTTCACAATGAGCAGTGGGGACTTTACTTCTAGGTCAACAAGTTAGGGTACACCTTTGGTACATGTTCTAAGTCTAGCAAGAGATGATAGGAGCTTCAAACTTCAACAAAGACATGTAGGAGCTACAGAGAGGCCCAGAACCCCAGACAGGTCCCTGTGCAGCTCACTTTCTGCCACTGTTTATGAGAAAGCCTGAGAGGATTACCTAGAGGAGAGAGATGTCATCGCTCACCAAGTGGAAACTTCCGCCAATCTACTCATGGGAAAGGCAATTATGTTCTTTCATTCCTAAATAGCTTATATGACTCTCAGTTCACAAACTAGTGCACAGTGGGCCTAATTAAATCTTTATTTCATCATGCAATGAAATTGTGTTTGAACTACCTAAGCATACAGCTATGCACATAGTAGGTCCCTTAAACATAAGCAGCTCCTGTTGTCTCCTTTCCTTAGCAAAATAGTGACCACTATATAATGTTTTAATTTCAGTTCTCATCCCACATTAAAGTCCTTCTAAATGTCCCATATGTATGCACCTGCATTTAGTTCTGTTAGATTTTGGTTCTCATGTTTCAGGGTTTATCTGGTTAACTTCTGGCCACCTGCCACATACCACTATGTCTCTTAATGAGTACACAGGGATGAATAACAGGGTGGCAGGCAACAGGAATGGTGGGAGACAGTCCATAGTTTAAGACCATTTGCAGGTATGGGAGGCCATTCCCCTTACCCCAGCATTTGGGAGGATTGACCTAAACTCAAGGCTAACCCAGGCATGTGAAGCAGCGGCCAAGTGTGACATTTGGGACTGAGAATGAACAGTTTCTGTGTGTTTTGTGAGGCACAGAAATCACTTGGCTGAGAACAGTGGGAGGATTCGGGGAAGTAGGAAATGATGGCTTCCGAGGCTTAGAATGAATTTTTCTTCTGAGTACCACAAAAAGGATTTGTTTTCCTTGAAAGGAAAGAGTAAGTGGTAAGTTTGGCTAACTTGAGCCCCAAATCACAGTTCTATTCTTTTTTAAATATACCCATGAGTAATCTAAATCCTTACTTGTAGAAGAGACATGTTCCAAGAACAGAAATTTTCCTTTATTAACAAGAGGCAAGGAAGCAAGCTGAGGGAGAACATAGAATTTAAATATACAAATCATAAAATAATTATAAGCTGCAGGTGGCTGGACTTCCTTTAATCTGACTTCGAGCTTTAAGATTCCCAGTAACCTGGCATGAATCCAAGTATGTTCAGGTTGTGTTCCTACATCTTATTCTGAGCTTACAAATTCCAGTTTCATTTCTCAAGTCATTGAACTTAGCCCCTAAAAAGGGCACATACATTTAAAAATGGCTATACTGATTTAGAAAACTGATTCTTAGGAGTTTGGTTTTTGTTTTTGTTTTTCACCTTAAACCATTTCTGGAGGCTCTGATGTTTGAGTCAAAGGCACAGAGACTGAAGGCTGACAGAGCACACTCACTGATCTCTCTTGCCTCAGTTTGGCCTCTGTAGTAGGTTTACCTGCATCTTGCTCTGTCCACTGCTGTATTCTCTTAGAAACCCACGGCTGGGTGTGGCGGGACTAGCGACTTCGTGGAGCTGCTGGGAGGAACTGGATTGGACCCCTCCAAGATGATGCCATTAGCCGACCTGTGCTCCCCCTTTCACGGCCCTGGTGAGACTATTCTTCAGCTGTCATTTACGTAGCATCAGGGTGATTCCCTTAAATAAAACATCCCGATTTTCCATATACAAGAAGACAAATTCTACCAAAATTTTTGTTTTTTTGTGTCAAGCCAATGTGAGAATTTTACTTGAGAGTCTATGTATAGTATCAGAACTTATTACCTAAGTACCCGCATCAAAGATGCCTATAGAGCATCAAGGATGTGTATTTAGGGAAAACTATGAAAAAGAAAATGTTTCTCTACTTCAGGGAAGATCTCTGCTTTTATCCTCTGGAGACTAACAGTTCAAATGGTCAAAGTATCTGTGATTGGTAACAGTATAATAATGAAATAATAACTAAATAACTCTGCCATCTGTGTAGGATACATTCTCATGTATGTGTATGTGTGTCGGTATATATACACATATCCATGCATGGATACACATATGTTGTACAGGGCTGGATTACTTATGGCACATATACATCAAAGCAGAGATTTCTAGAGCGCCCCTAAGCCCCTGACTTCCCCCAACTTCTGCAGCTATACTAGCCCCTCAAAGACCATTGCTACCCAGAGGCAAATTCTGAAATCTCAAAGTACTCCCTATTAATACAAAGCTACTTTAGGATGCAGCTGCCAGATGGTGCCAGCTCTGCCTTGCTAAGGTGTGTGAGGATGGGGTCCGAACCACTGACCTCATGACCAAACTAATAGTTATATGTGGTGGGGGCAGGTTCCATAGAAAGATTCTATTAAGATGGCCCTCACACCTGTCGATTACAGGAATTGTTGGTAGTCTGGAAAGAGACAAATTAAAACCTAAGACAAAGAACACCAGTGCATGCTGGGCGTTGGTGGCGCATGCCACCAGCACTGGGGAGGCAGAGACAGGCGGATCTCTGTGAGTTCAAGGCCAGCCTGGTCTCCAGGATAGGCTCCAAAGCTACACAGAGAAACCCTGTCTTGAAACCCCCCCCCAAAAAAAAACAGTGCCAAATGGCACAGACCATTCCCCTCAGAGCCCCCTCCTCTCACACCCCCACAGACCCTCCTCTAACCGGGTGATGAAGTTGTAAAGCAGACAGCTTTTTTCTCCCCTCTTGTATCCTCCCTATTTCCATGTACTCTAAGTTTAGTCCCAAATCATAGAACCATTAGAGACCCTGTCCTTTAAATTGAATTTTGTAAGAAATTATGTCAAAAACAAATAGTATGCACATTGACTAAAGGAAGCAGGATATACTGTGTCGATTCAAGCTCAGAGTGACACCAGAAAGAAAAACAACCTTCCAGATTATCTAAAGAGAGATAAACACAGCCTCCAGGCAGCAGTTAATCTAGGTTCTCTCAAATTGGTATTTTAAAAAACTCAGGGTTGAAACTTACCATGCTTTCAAATAGACTTTCACCCTACTGACACTATCATGCTGTGTTGCTTCATTTGCACCTAGGGATGTGTCCGGGAGGCACCTGTGGCACAGTGATAGCGGTAGCATGCCTCAGAATTGAGAAATAACCTGCAGATACGAAGTATGAAGGGAGAGACTGGGAAAATTAAAATAGCAGGAAGAATTATTATAGTGCAGATAAAACGCATCAGGAATCAAACTGTGCCTTTAGAAATGAATGGAGAGCAATTTTTAATGAAAATAACCTGACTTTCAGTGTGAGTTGCCTGGGCACACCTGTCAGAAGCGACAAACAGGTGTCAGGTGCATGTTCAGACAATGAAACTATTGGCTGTAAGTCAAGTGAGAATGTTCAAAACTATTCCATACCAGGACAGTTTGAAAGGTGTTGGTAAACAATAGAAAAATTGGTTCTCAACCAGAGGGTCTTGACCTTTGGGGTCAAATGCATATTAGATATCCTGCATATTAGATATTTACTTTATGATTTATAACAGTAGCAAAATTACAGTTGTCAATGAAAATAATTTTATGATCCAGGGTTGCTACAACATGAAGAACTGTATTAAAGTATGCTGGCATTAGGAAGGTTGAGAACCACTGCAATAGAACAAAAGCTGGCCTACTCAGTGTGTGTGCCTACTCTGTGCAAATGAGTTTTCATTTGCATGTAAAATGTAGCCATTATCTAGACGTAGGGTGTAATAAATGGGATTTTCTGGTCCACACAAACACCAAACAGTACAGTCCTGCCTCTCTGTACTAATTGCCACTTCAAACCCAGATTCTGTTCCCACCCTGAACTGTCCCTGCCTAGAAAGGCCAGCAATGGAGCAGAGTTCATTGGTCACCATTGTTCCCTTTGCCACCTAAGCATTGCAGGCAGGAAGATAAGACAAAGTCAAAGAGAAATTTTACCTCTTTCTAGCCAGCTTTCCTTGTCTTATGGTGTCCTGTACGTGCAGAAAAAGACTGGATCTAGTTCCTGATTCTACATCTAATTAAATAGTTAAAAAACAAAAAGATGGGGGGCTGGAGAGATGGCTCAGAGATTAAGAGCACTGACTGTTCTTCCAGAGGTCCTGAGTTCAATTCCCAGCAACCACATGGTGGCTCACAACCATCCGTTATGAGATCTGGTGCCCTCTTCTGGTGTGCAGATATACATGGAAGCAGAAAGTTGTATTCATAATAAATAAATAAAATCTAAACAAAAAACAAAAAACAAAAAGATGTTTTGACTGAAAGGATTTGACTATGTGAGAGCAAGATGCCATTCATGTCCCTATCCCACCTTCACTGTTTAACTTATTTAGTGGAGAGCACTGTTTTTACCCTCTGTTCTATAACCTGTTGGAAAACATTTATTATTTTTTCCCCATCAATTATAGCCCAGATGAAAATCAGCTGTGACAACGCTGTGGTGCGCATGGTCTCCAGTGGAAAACACATTAACCGAGTGACATTTGAGTATCGTCAGCTGGAACCGTTCGAGCTAGAAACCTCTAATGGAAATAGCATCCCGGAATTCTGTTTGTCTAGTCTTTGAATGACCCGTTCAGTGATTGACATGCTGCTATCTGAGTGTTATTGTATAGTTATTGACAGTTATTGTATATGATCTCGATGGGCAGCCAGTGCAAAGCTTTTCATGACAGTCTGACAGTCACTATTCCAGGCCTTGAACACATGCTTACATGAGTTTCAATTTTGCTTCCTTTTGTTATAAAGTATCAATGAACAGAAGGTAGACAACAGGTTGGAGTTGGAAATGCTTCGTGGTTTTGGTGTGCTGCATACATGAACGGGTGAAGCAAGAGCAAAGAAGTGAGGAAAACAGTTGTATGGCAAGGGCAGATGCCACAAAGAGAGGAAAATGGCAGCCCTCCCAGTTTCATGACAGAATAAAAAAATTGTCAAAGTCTTGGGCATACCAAAGGAATTGTATCTGTTATTTTTACTTCATACTTCTGTTTACAAACTGTAGCTATTAGTTATTAATTGGTAGTACTTGTTTTTTAAACAACACTTTATAGCATGGGAACAAAATCTTTCCATCCATAAATCCAAATGTGAATAAAATATGCGCAGAATACTGGCATCTTGACAGAGTGATGTATTGGCTTTCCTGGGGGAGGGGTCCCTGCCGCCATTACTCAAAGAAAGAAAATAATGTTCCCATGGAGTGCAGATCCAAGTCATGAACTAAACAATTTCGCATCTCTTGGAGCTGATAACTCTGGAGAGGTGATGTGTGTAATTCAGGGCAGAGGGAGAATTGCAATGGGTACATTGACTCTCCCTAGCCAGGAAGTAGGGAGAGGACATGTGCTTTCTACAAGTCACTGAGGAAACTCAGAGTGCATGTCATAACCACAGAGGACATTTCCAGTGGGGATGCTAAGGGCTTTACCCTCCTCTTGGAGACAAAATTTGTAGAAATCTTAGTGCTTTGCTTTAGAGCTGCCCGTGTTTGAAAAAGGGGCTGGTGAGATGGCTCTGTGGGCAAAGTAATTTGCCACTAAGTCTGACCGATGAGTTTGATCCCTGGGACCCATAAGGTGGAATCAACTCCCAAAAGTTGCCCTCTAACCTACGTACACATATACAGATACACACACACACACACACACACACACACACACACACACACACACACAGAGAGAGAGAGAGAGAGAGAGAGAGAGAGAGAGAGAGAGAATATAAATAAGTAAATATATATTTTAAACTTTCGGGAAAGAAACTGAAAGAGGTTATTGGTAGCATTTTTGTTGTTATTTCTATTTGAGACAGGGTCTCACTCTGTAGCTCCAACTGACCTGCAGCTCACTATAGACCAGGCTGGCCTCAAACTCACAGAGATCTTCTTTCCTCTGCCTTCTGAGTACTGGGTTTAAAGGTGTGTGCCACCACACCCTGACATATTAATAACACAATGGATAAGTCATGCCAGGCCTTTCCTGGTTCGCATGTGTCTCCCCTCACATCTGACCCGTTGATAGGCTTTGCTTTTTTCTAGATCCAATCTTGACCATCTACAAAAGCTTGAACAACAAATTTCACAGTCTTTCTTGATTGCCTTCCGTGTACCTCATTTTCATCTCCTTAGTCTTTCCAGGTCTTGCTCCCCTCCCCCAGGTTAAGACCTTAGCCTTTGTAAATGCTAGTTCAGTGGTTAGGGCTCCACTACTCATAATTAATCTCTCTAAACAAATCAGTTAATCATAATTAAGCTCTCTAAAACTTCTCCTGCCTTTATGCCTCACTCATAGGTTGTATATAACTGTGACCGGCCTTACCGTCTGCATGCCTTTCCAGATTTTTGCTTTGTTTTGTTTTGTTTTTGAGACAAAAGTTTGTCTCACTTTGTAGCCTCAGATAGCCTGGAATGTAAGCCAGGTTGGCCCAGACTCAGAGATTTACCTGTGTCTACCTACCAAGGGCTGAAATTGAAGCCATGTGTCACCATACTTGGCCACCTTTCTATTTCTTATAAGCCTGTATGTCATCTGAGGAGGACTTTGTCCATGACATTAGGCTTTCTCCCAGTTTCTAGACTGTTTTGTTTTCTGCAATCCTAGAGACTCTGTAGTATTGTACTTCATTTAAGCAGATAGGGTAGAAGGGTGCTCTTCACCCTCCTGAGTGTAAAGACTACATTTCCCAGCCTCCCTTACTAGATAGAGCATTGGTTATCTGACTGAATTTGGACTGAAGGAATATGAATAGAAATGACATTTTCTCTCATATGCTCCTCTATATATTGTTTAAATATGGGAATCCTAGCAGAGGACTGCAAGTCATCAGAAATTGGAGCCATAGGATTCGAGGAGCCTGAGTCTCTGCATGGCTCTGAGGAGGCTGCCTACTGACTAGGAATGCTCACACTGGACTTCATGTGAAGTAGTTTTGTTTTATCGAGCCGTTGAAATGCTTTGTTCTTTGTCCTGGGGAATTGTCTAAATCCAATTCTCAGCTTTTCTTCAATTTTCCTCTCTAATCTGTCTATTAACTCCACACAGGCTTGCCTTGTCTCTCGAAGAAAAATAATTCAAATGCACATCTTTGATCACATAAATACAAGGATCCCACTGCTATAGTTCTATCCAGCTTGTCCATTTCCCTGAGAGGATCTTCTTGGGGTGGGAATTCTTAGACTCCTTTACAACCATGGGCCAGGAAAGAGATCCCACATAGTTACAAACACCTCCAGATTTGGCCAAGAGTTCATAGACCTCTGCACCCCGTTCAGCGTTTTAGAGTGAGGCCCCTTAAGTCATGATAAAAGTCAGCTCCATGTCAATCCATTCAGCCTGGCTCAATGTCTCTTTAGTATCACTTAGAGTGTTCATTAAGCTGGCTTCTAATGGGGCTGCTACTAGTGCAATGACTCTGTGCCCCATCTAACCATTTAATTTTACTTGCATTAGATGAGTTTTTCTTCATCTGTACATTTGGCTCAGAACAAATTTCATGGACAAAGATTTTTGTCCAGATTTTTCCCAACTGTGAAGTTTTATTTTTCTTGCCATTTTAACCAGGGAGACAATGTTTGCCTGCAAAGTAGAATCAAGAGAAAGGAGAGTTTGATGGATGGGATCTACTTGTAGGCAGTTTGTTTATATGCTCCAAGTACCCAAGAGAAGCTGGGTAAAGAATCTCCAATCAAAGCATAATCATGGGGAATTATGTCTGAATGCACGCCTCTCTGCAGCGGAGCATGGCAGAAGGGATCCCTTTGTATGAGCAAATAAACAAGCGGGCGGCTTGTTTTCTAATGGCTCATCGGTAATGATTACCACCCATTTTCCTCTTCACATCTGACATTCTTTTCTTTGTGTGTGAAGACAAATGGTACAGAGTGAAGTATCAGAGGCAGGAGAGAGGGAATATGAGTGAGAGAGAGAGAGAGAAAAATAAGGGCTTGATTAGAGGGCTAGGGCACATAATGGAAATCCAAGTCTCTGATCTGGGCTCTGGGCTTTGCTCCTGGTGAGTGTGGGCTTGGCCCCTCTGAAGCTAAGGAAGGACCAAATGGCCTGTGCTTTATTTAGGGCAAAGACTCAGTGTCAACACTAAGATGGGAGGTTGGAAGGGCAGGACAGAGCCATGACCCTCATCCTTAGAAGGGTGGACAAATATGGGGGGATTCACAGTAAAAAGATGGATGTTGCCCACTGACTCCTCTCTGCTCCCCCAGGTTTCTGGGTATCAGACAATGAAGCCTGCATTACTGATTCAGATACAGTCAAATCCACCAGCATAGGGTAAGTGGGTGGCTCCCTACGTGTGAAAAGGACAGCAAAAGCCCTCTTGACTGAAATGTTACCTTTCTCTGAAGTTGCCACAGACTAAGGAAGCAGATGCAGGCTTGAGCTTTGATTTAACTGCAGTCCCTATGCCATTGGCCATGTCACAGCACCTCTAGGAGCACTTGCTTCTTCACACAGAAAGTGAGACAGGTATACTCACTGTACCCGGAGCTTACAAAAACTGTCAAGCATGTGTCTTGACCCACATCAGAGGCTGTCACTATAAATGCCCCTTCTTTGGAGAAGGCGTCAGCCTGGTCTTTGGTAATCTTATTTCATCTCAGAGGTTATGAACAAGTTTGCAGTCAAAAGGAAACTGAGATGTAGGGGAACCTGTAGCCACGCCTGCTTAGGGGCTGGCTACAGGCCTGCCTCCAATGTTCCTTCAAACAAAGTTGTTTTGCAAAAAGAAAACAAAACAGCTTGTTACCTTTATGATAGTAAATGGCAAAGTACGCCTTCCTTTTCTTTTTTTCTCAACTTTTATTGATTCTCTGCAGATTTCATGTATTCAGAGCCCACTTATCCCCTTGCCTCTGCCCTTTGCCATGCACTCTCCCTTACAAAACAAAACAAAATTTAAAAGATAAAACAAAAACCAAACCAGAGAGAGAGAGAGGGGGGGGAGAGAGAGAGAGTCTCATTGTGGAAGCTGTAGTGCGGCCGGTTGAGTCACACAGTTTGTCCTTTAGTCTATTCATCTTCACTTGTAAGTGTTCATTGCTGTGAGTCATTGGTCTTGTCAGAGACCTCTGGCTTCTGCAGCACAATCGATAATGGGCTCTCCCTGGGGCTCCTCTTGGGTATCCTGATGTTGTTCTGTGTCGTGGAGATCCTGCTGTTTTGGATCTGTAGGTTTGTCCCCTTCACATGTTCCAACAGTTCATAGATGTGAATGTTGGGATGGGCCACCTCACAGCCCTGGTTCTGGATTGGTCAGCCTACCAGCTTTCTCCCATTGTCACCACTGAGGTGAGCTCTCCAGCATTGACTAGCCCACATGAGGCAGCCTGCAGCAAGGGGCAGGGCCAGTTCTCCTGTTTTGGGGCCTTCAGATCCAGGTCCCCTTGCTCATTACACCAGGGCCATTTCTAATGCTTTGCAAGGTGCAGGCAAGGTGCAGGGCCCTCTCTCTGGACTGCTGAAGGGTACATATTGGGTGTGTGTGTGGGGGGGTTAGCTCTCCTGCTCTCACACTCTCAGGGCTGGCTCACCTGTGCCTTCCATGACAGGGTCAGCTCTAGTGTGCTATCAAGGCATCAAGACGGGTGCAGGTCACACTGTCCTGTGTGCTGCAGCTGGTGAGGAGCAGGGCTAGCCAGCTCTCTGTCTGCCACTGGTAGCAAAGGGGGAGCATATTTCCCTCACCCATGCCTCCACAAGGCTGATTGGGAGGTGGGGGGTCAGCTGTCCCCAGACAGGGTGAGAAGCCTGCTCTCCTGTGTGTAAATATATATATATATATTTTCTTGAAACACCCTTACCAAGTTCTTACTGCAAAAGAATTTATTGACAGTTCATTAAAACAGGGAGCTCCATTTGCAAGGTTGGAAGCTTTACCTTGCCCTCTGCTAACAGAAAACCATTCCTTTTGTCAGCACTCCAGGCTGGTGAGCAAAGGCCTTGGCCAGCACTTCCCTCTCCTGGCCTTTGCTGTGATAAACAACCTGTGACACTGAGAACCCTCAGGGACCTGGGTTTACTGGCCCCAGGGAGAAAGCAGGAAGAAGAGGGGCTGCTGTAACTCTTTGTAAGTCTGCAGATTTAAAAGCAAAAAGCCTTA